TCACGGACCGCGAGATCGTGACCTGGCTGAAGTCGGACGCTTAACCGACTGCGCCACCCAGGCGCCCCAAACCTTAATTATTTTTTAAAAAATACATTAAATTTATTTTATCTCAATCTCAGTCAACAGGAGGCAGTTCAAATAACTGAGGATTTTTTCCTTTGTATTTTAATTTGAGAAACAACATAATAAATTCATAAATAGGATTTTAAATAAATACCTGTTCTTTTTAATAACCCACAGTAAAAATTTTGTGAGCAGATCAAATATTATTAGAGGCAGTACTTACATGTTTATTTATGAATCAGGAACCTATATTACTGTTAGCATTGCTGATGCTGAGTCACTGTAAAATCTTGAAAGACCTTTGGAATTATCAAGGAAAAAAAGCATGTTATTAATACAAAATCTGGTATATTTGATGGCAGGGGCACCTGGGTGGCTCGGTCAGTTAGGCGTCCAACTGTTGATTTTGGCTCGGGTCATGATCTCACAGTTTCATAAGGTTGAGCCCTGCAATTGGGCTCTTGCTGACAAAGTGGAGCCTGCTTGGGATTCTCCCTCTCTCTGCCCTTTCCCCCACGCACTCTTTCTCAAAATAAATAAATAAACTTAAAAAAATATTTGATTCTACATAATCTTATCCGATCATTCTGAATAAATCTGAACACTTATCTAGCCATTATCTCCAATTATCTTTCATTCTTGGATAAAGCAATTTTCTTAGAGTTACTGCAGTTATTGGTAGACTTCCTTTCTGCCTTTTGACTGTGAATGTGAAGATATCAGACTCCTGAGAAGGAGAGAGCGAAGAATCTGGCCCAAATATTTCTTCGCTGCATTTCCTACCCCCAAAATTATATTGCAGCCTTGAAATTTTTCTGCCATCAGTGCCTGTCTTGTGTGGGAGGCAGCTGAAGGCAGTGTATAATTACTTCTTGTGGGGAGATTAATGGCTCTGGCCTTTCTTTATTCTCTCCAGTCCTCATTTCTGCATCACCTGCCTATCAGCAGTTAGATCTCTAATAGGTGCTATTAAGCATTCTAATATCTAAAGGTGAATTGAAAAGAAGTATCATTAAAAGGTAAAGGACATGAACTGTTGGGAAACTTCAGATATCTCCAACTTCAAATCCTCTCTTTTCAAGTTTTAATTTTGTCTTGTTTATGTCCCCATTCATGGAGTCCGGGAGCCAGGTTGGCACTCCTTAGCATTTCAGAGACTAAGAATTGGCCCAGCTTTTATTGTTGTTGTAGCTATTAAGATATTTAACGACTTTAACTTTTTATATTCCTGTTACTTAATTTTCTCTCCTGTCCCCAGTCTCCTGACAGTTCCTGCTCTTGTATCCTAGGAATATGGGAGAGGTGGCAAAAAAGTCCTTTTCTGATTTATCCTCTCCTGGAGAGTGGCAAATGAAACTGTGTTTGTTCCAGTGAATAGTAGAATGTGAAATCCCATAAAGCCACCTCAGTTATTAGATGAATATCACAGAGGTGCTTATTATACAGTATGGCTTAATGTAGATTATAGATGTGACCAAATGGTAATTAGTAGAGCTGGAGCTGTAATTAAACATTATTGTGTTGCTCTGTGATTTCTCCTCAGATTTCTGTTGCAAAGTAGGAAACTGAATAGTTCCAAACCCATAGGTGGATTTCTTCACTTCTCCCCACCCCCAAATTTCTTTTAATTAATTAACTGACTAAATAAAGTCATCCTCACACAAACAGAGCTCCTGAATTCTACTTAGTATCTCTGAGCAGTAAGAGCAGTTTGCTGCATATACATGTCAGTTGGCTCTTTGTATATTAGTTCTATTTTTCTAATCAGTTCAGCTAAGTTCCTTCTCTCCACATATTCTGTAGCAGGGTTTAATTTGGCAAACTGAATGCAACAGGGGTGTCTCCTAGTTACACATCTTAGATCTTGTTTTCTGGATCTGTCAGTATAAAACTGGAGGCTTGGCTTCATGTACAGTGTTAGTAGCTTCTTTTCTTCCTGGTCTCCCATAAGCACTGAATAACCTAGCAGGAAATGAAACCACTTCTAGAAAACAGCTGTCCTTGATAGCTGAGAGAGAGAAAGAGGAAGAGAGAGAGGGGGGGAGAGAGAGAGAGAGAGAGAGAGAGAGAGAGAGAGAGAGACACACTGACTGACTCCCTGGGGACTTACCTCCTTCTGTGCTTGGAATTGCTGCCTTAGCAATGGAACAGGTTAGTTACAGGATATGGTCACATGAGGCAATGAGAAAGTTCAGAGAAATGACCTAAAAGATCTAGGCCAACCTCTGTGTCCAAGAAAGAGGACCTTGCAGGAATTTCTCTTGCTAGTAGAAGGATAGTATAGAAAAGAAAACAAACTTGGGGCTCCTGGGTGACTCTGTCAGTTAAGCATCTAACTCTTGATCTCAGCCCAGGTCATGATCTCGTGATTCACAGGATCAAGCCCTATGAGGAGAGAACAAACCCTAAGCAAAGGAAATGCACATACTGATTATGAAATTGTTTTTGTCTCAGTTTTCCCCAGAAGAAAAAAATAGAAAAACAGAGGTGAGGCCAAGAGTAAAGATGATCTGTGTATACTCTGTCTCTAATTTTCCCTTTTTAGTAATTCTCAGGGGTAAAATCTCCAAGAAACTTTCTTTCCAAAGAGTTACTAGCTATCTTCTTGAAGCATTCCTGAAAGGGCTAGATATTAGAGCCAGATTCCAGCCATATACAGGAGTCATAGAGTTGAACTTACTTTTTCTGTGTTTTTACTTTCAAATCTGTGTATAGAAATTTTAAAGAGTCTTTTAGGAATCTACCACATCCCAGGAAGGTTGCCAAATAAAATGATCAATGCCTGATTTTCAAGAGTGCAGAAAGAAGCAAAAAAGCCTTTTGGCATTGACAATAATGCAGAAAATTCATTATATGGGCTTCAACTTTCATTTTATGAAAAAGGTGGAGTTAGGGAAGTATAGGGGTGGGGCGTGCCTGCCAAGCAGACAAGCATAATGTTTTGGCAGCTTTTCAGGAACCAGAATTAATCAGAATCCGTGTTCTAGCATTCAGTGGACTCTTGACAGTGATGATTCACAAATAGCAGTGACCTCTAAGCCAAGAAGTCAGAGCTAACTAACTGCAGAGAGTAGATATAGTACCCAGATCTCAGCTTCTAGAGGTGTGTGTGTGTGTGTGTGTGTGTGTGTGTGTGTGTGTGTGTACTTACACACACACGCACCTGTGTTAGAGAGGTGGGTTACAGGTATAGCAGTGGTCATTCAGTAAACTGTTTCAGAACCAGAGTTCTGATGCAGACCTGTCCAGCAGCTTGGTTTCTGGGTGCATATGTAACTCTCTGGATGTAGGTCTGTTGAAGGAGTACATTCAAACTGGACTTAAAAAAAAAAAAAAAAAGAAAGAAAAAATCTTTCACAAGAGGAAGAGGGTCCCAATCCTTGACTCTTATTTTCTAGGTTTGCTGACTGGTAACATACTTAATCTTCAGGGAAGATTAGTCAGTGTGTGAATTGAGTGCTTTTGCATATGCAGGACACTGTGTTCCATTAGGATTTGAGCAGTGTAGATTCAGGGTACTTTGTCACTCTGATAAATGCTAGGATTTAAAGAGTTAAAAGATTATTACCCTCCATATTACAACTTTGAACTCTGGATATGTTGAATTACTGGTTTCTAAGTAATTGCACTCTTGTGAGAGATTCTAGTTTTAAAAAAGTTTTTTAATGTTTATTTTTGAGAGATAGAGGCAGAGCGTGAGTGGGGGAGGGACAGAGAGAGAGGGACACACAGAATCTGAAACAGGCTCCAGGCTCTGAAGCTGTTAGCACAGAGCCCGACATGGGGCTCAAACTCAGGAACAGTGAGATCATGACCCAGACCGAGGTCAGATGCTTAACCAACTGAGCCACCCAGGCTCCCCGAGATTCTAGTTTTAGAGGTAGATGCTGGTCCTTGTGCTCACCTATTTCTGTCTGTGCATGTGTGTGATCAACTTCATCTACAGACTGCCATGAATAGGCTTCTGGGTCCTAACAGCACCTGCTGTTTGTTACAGATAAATTTGATGTTACATTCTTGCTCCAAAATGCCATTCTTACTAACCAGTCGCTGTTGTAATCTCTAAGTGTTAGAAACCCCCATCAGGTTGTTCCTAGCCCTCTTATAACTTTTAAGTAGATGTCCTTCTAGCTAAAGATGAATTGAAGTTCTAGTCTTCTTAAAGTGACATTCCTGGGATCTAGATTTTTTTTTTCCTTTTTTATCCCTACCTGTATTCTTGGATTTTATACATGATTAATGTATTATTTGTTGAATGATAGATTGGTGGGAAAGATAGTGGTGGCAGTAGAACATGCCTCAGAAACCTTTTCGTTGTCATCAATCTATGTGCTCTATTACTGTTGAAATCTGGACCTGGTTCTCTATCACTGGAGATTTTCAAATGAGACAAGATTTTGTTTAAATACAATTTATTGTCAAGTTGGCTAATATACAGTGTATACAATGTATTCTTGGTTTTGTGGGTAGATTCTCATGATTCATCACTTACATACAACACCCAATGCTCATCCCAACAAGTGCCCTCCTCAATGCCCATCACCCCTTTTCCCCTCTCCCCCGCTCTCCACCCCCATCAACCCTCAGTTTGTTCTCTATATTTAAGAGACTCTTATGGTTTGCCTCCCTCTCTGTTGTTTGAAACTATTTTTTCCGTTTTCCTTCCCCCACATTTTTAAATACACTTTTAGCCAAGCACCATTTGTGAGGAAGATCGTTAATAAGAAATAGAGCTTCTACCACAGGGTGTGCTCATATAAACCATTAGATTTGAAGTGGTATCATGAGCTAGAACTTGAAAGGAAGGACCAAAGTCTTATATTTAGAGCCTTCCACACTGGCAGGAAAGAATGTAGGACTAGATTAAATACAGAGAAGGTATTTCCTCTAAATGTTCTCTCTGCCACTCAGCTACTACTTCTCTTCCCCCACAGATGGAGTCCCCTGTCTCTACACCAGCAGTGCTGCCACTGCACCTTTTGGTACCAGTGGTCAATAATGACATCTCCTCCCCCTGTGAGCAGATCATGGTTCGTACCAGATCAGTTGGGGTCAACACATGTGATGTGGCTCTAGCTACAGAGCCTGAGTGCCTGGGCCCCTGTGAACCTGGAACAAGCGTCAACCTCGAGGGCATCGTGTGGCAGGAAACAGAAGATGGTAAGTGCTATGTGCGTCTTTTCCCATCTCTTCTCAACCTGCTTCTGCCAACAGGGGCTTATCGTTGTAAATAACACCAAGTATTTATTAGGAGTCTCAAGTGACCATAGTTTGCTAGTGACACCTACCCAGGAGATCACAGCAAACTTTCTCAGTAAAATTGCGCAGCTTCTGGAGATTGCCATTTTGTTTGTTTAAAGTTTATTTATTTATTTTGAGAGAGACAGCAGGAGCAGGAGAGGAGCAGAGAGGGAGAGGAAGAGAGAGAATCCCAAGCAGGCTCCACCAGTGCAGGGCTTGATGCTGCGAACCGTGAGGTCATGACCTGAGCTGAAATCAGGAGTGGAGGCTTAACCCACTGAGCCCAACACTGAGGTCTCCCAAGATTGCCAGTTTTTAAAATTAATTATCTCTCTTTTATGGGTATCCACAATGTTGGCCCTGGCATTTAAGCAGTCATTTTGTTAAGTGCTGGCCAGGTAATTCACACTGTGTCTCTACTCTCCATACTCCTCTTTATCATTTTATATGGGAGAATTTGAATGTAAATGAACTTTTGGGTCAGGCTTCAAGAGAAAAAAGTAATAAAAGGACAGCTGTGGGAGTCAAGGAAATGGAAAACAGTCACTCTAAATTGACTTATTGTTGGCTCATTGAATATGCAACTCTTGCCTTTTTTAACACCTGGAGGTGCAGCCAGCTCCTTCCCACTGGTTGCCTCATTGCCTAGCCACCCACTTCACTTCATGCATCTGTCACTTAGTACAGATTTTATAGGCCTAGGCAATAGGGAAATGTTTACATGGTCTTGTTTTCAGGCATCCACTAAGCAATTGGCTCACTGCAGGGTGCTTCTGCCTGAGGCTACCATCCAGACTTCTTGTATGTTCCATTTGCCCCTGAGAACAGAGTCTCTTCTATTTTAGAAGTTCATAAACCTGAAAAAATAGTTGTGTGAAGGGACTTGACCAGGTATTTCTGATCCCTTGGTACCATCTGTGGCAATTTGATTTCAGCACATAGATTCTTTTTATAAAGATTCCAAGTTCTTGTCAAAGTATGTTTATACAGAGTATGTTTATAGAGGCTGGGCCTCAGAGTCCCGTCAGGTCTCTGCATCAGTAACCAGACTTTGAAAGCATCCCCACTCTGAAGTTTAGAGGCCCAGAGGAGCACAGCTCATTATCTCTAATTATCATAAGCTATCTTGTCAGTTTGCCCATGGAAATTCAAGCATTTCATTCTGGTCATTCTAATTAAAGTCTGTTCCTCTGAATATTTTGTTGTGATTCAGTATTTATTTAAAGTCTGTCATGCAGTAGGTATTGATGTGACACAGGTTAAGAATTCTGTTTTTGGCTTTCTTGTTGATAACAATATAGTAAAGCTTCAGCTTTCAGAATAACATTGCTGATAGGTTTTATTGTGTGCCTGAGACCATAATGCCAAAAAAAAAATTTTTTTTTTCTCTTGTGTTAGAAACTGATGCAGAGACAGTGGAGAGAGGGGTTGACCCTAGAGGTTGACTCTGGATATGTGTATTCAGTAGACAGTCTGGAAATCACAAGTGGCTATCTCTAATTTTGAAAATGTCATCTGCCTTTGGCCAAAGGTCTGAATAGCCACAGAGTCTGTTGGAATGACAAACATATCCAGCCCACAGCTCTTTGACACCAACCAGCCTTTGGGGCCTCTTGCCTCAGTATATTGAAGATAGAAGACATCAATTTCCTGCCTGTTTATTCTGTCCATCTTTATGATGGTGACTTTCCTCCAAGAGCAAGTTGCTTTTCATATATGTTAACCGATGAAAACTTTGTAAGAATGTGAGGCACTAACCCTTTCACTCTCCTGAGAACAATGGATACCTTTTTTTATTATTTTTTTTTAATGTTTATTTATTCTTGAGAGAGAGAGAGAGAGAGAGTATGAGCAGGGGCAGAGTGAGAGAGGGACACAGAATGTGAAGCAGGCTCCAGGCTCTGAGCTGTCAGCACAGAGCTCAATGTGGGGCTTGAACTCACGAGCCATGAGATCATGACCTGAGCCAAAGTCAGACACTCAACCAACTGAGCCACCCAGGCGCCCCCAATGGATACCTTTTTATCTGAGAGTCTCTGTTCTCCCTCCATGCCAAGGAGATAGTAGCACAGGTTTTTGGGGGGTTTTATTTGTTTGTTTGTTTTTTATTTTTTTATAATTTTTTAATTTTTTGTTTAATGTTTATTTGTTTTTGAGAGAGACAGAGACAGAGACAGAATGCAAGCAGGGGAGGGGCAGAGAAAAAGGGAGTTATGGAATCCGAAGCAGGCTCCCGGCTCTGAGCTGTCAGCACAGAGCCTGATGCTGGGCTCGAACTCATGAACTGCGAGATCATGACCTGAGCTGAAGTCAGATGTTTAACCGACTGAGCCACCCAGGCGCCCCTGTTTTTTTTAGTTGTTTGCTCTGACTCTCATGTTGTACCTGGCAGCTTATTACCAAGTTCCCCTGTTGTACATTTTGAATGCACCCTGCGTTTTATTTCACAGTAGTTATCACAGTTTGCAATTTTATAGAATGATAATTTTCTGTTAATGTCTGTCTCTTCCACTGTTTTAGAATTCTGTGAGCCCAGGGACTCTGTTTTGCTCACCATTGAATATCTAATACTTAATACTTGGTAGCTGTAGTAGGCCCTCAAAAATATTTGAGTGAATGAATGTTACATCTAGTTGTCATTTGTAGATCTTTATTAATATTATAGATACTGTAATATTGTTTGAACTGAGAAATCATATCAAATACTTTACAAAATTCTAGACCTCTGAAACTCAGAATAAGTACTATTGTCACCAGGTTTGAGATCACTCATTTATTTATATCTATAAGATTTTTAATTCTCCTACTTTTAATACCATATTTTCTCTCATTTCCTATATTGTGTTCCGGGGCTTAGTACCTCTCCTCTTTTTTTTTTTTTTTTTTTTTTTTTTTTTTTTTTTT